CTTTCAAGAAAATTTCAATAAAACTTAAAGAAGACTTAAATTTTAGAGATTTGTTTCAATTTTTAACTCTATCTAACAAACTCCCTATGGTATGGTTTGTGCTTTCCAGCAAGTCAAGGACTCCATAGGTAATCATGCACTGTTCTAAAGCTAAAAAATGGATTAAAAATTGTGCACCAAGAGACTGAAAATGGCATCACAGAATATAATCGAAACCTAGGCATACGAGCTTCCACACAAAGACACCATTTTGGATTTTTTTACCTGCAGAACCCTATGATGATAGCAAAAATGCTAAGGGCCATGACAAGTGAATGAGAGCAGTCTGCAAGGTAAATTGCAAGGATTCCCAATTGTGGATGACGAATCAGAACAAAGAAGAGGATGAGGCAGATCAGAGAACCGACAAGGAGGAGAAGGCCAAAGAACAAGCCCTTGCTTGCTCCAACACAGTCCACTCGCCCATGTTGAGCCCGAGCAATTGCCACAGCTCTTTGAGAGAGCATTGCCTCTAACCGTTGTTCCAGATCCTCCTCGGTTACATATCTTTAAAAAATTGAGAAGGACATAGATAAATATTTATTGAGAAGTAATCATGGGTGTATTTACTACAAACTAAGTAAATAATATATACCTTGGATTGTATCCAATGTGTCGCCACATAATATAGACAACAGCCGCTCCAATCAGACAGTACTCAATGACGAAAGGGTAAAGGTAGGGAGCAGCATCAAGTACTATGCTGCCCATAATGTTGATGCGGCCGCAACCCTCGGAATCAAGCATGCGTTGTCCAGTGATATTAAGCTGGATGGCCTTCAGAGCTTCCGCAACAGGCAATGCACCAACCATTTCTTCACCTCCTGTCATTTTGATCCCAGCCTCATGGTCAAAAGGCATATTAGGAGCACCTGCAAATACCATTGAACGCTTAGCAGTTTTCACAAACTATGATGGAATTTTGTTTTTTTCAGGAAGGGTAAAAGGCAGAAGCTGTTACGGGGAAGATCTGGTCTATCAATAATAAATCACATGCACATCAAGATAGTATTGTAAAAGTGAAGAAATGGAAGGGTTTAGAGATAAAGACATTTTAGGAAACAACAACAGAACTGTAAAAGCACATAATGAGTAAAGGGAAATAAGTCTGGTGTTTTCCTACATAACTACAGGTAGCAACAAAGTGGCATACCTGGCACGATGGTGGAAAAAGTTTGTCGCAGCAGAGATTGAGGGGTAGTAGAGGCTGTTGTGGAGGCCAAAGTGGACGCAGCCGTGCTGGCCAGCGTTGTCAAGAATGGGGTGGTGGTGGTAGGTGGGGGGATAGTGGTCGTGGTGGTTGTGGTCGTGGTCGTTGTAGTGGAGGTGGACAGAGTGGTAGGCAGGGTTCGCAGGGTGGTGGCAGCGGTGGATGCAAGAGTGCGCGCAGTGGTCTGCGCTGCCTTCACTGCGTACGAACCAGCGGTTGCTACGGTGCTGGCAATCATGTTTGCGCTTCGCAGAGAGTTGGACTGGAAAGTCTCTGCAAGCATCAAAGCCACACGACTGTGCTATTTGCCCAAAACACACACACACACACACACACACACTCACACTTTGACTGGTGCTGCACACAAGATTTTTGTGAAAACGGAACTGTACAGTATCATTTTAAGCAGTTTCAAAACTAAATGGGAATTCCTGAGTTCAAATTGCTGTTAAAAGGGTGGGTTGGTTACAGGGGTCCCAATGACTTTGTGTGTTAGATAGAAAGCAGAAGGGAAGCATTGCAGTAGAAAGAAGTTTTTCAATGGACAAAAGACACAAATAAGAAGTTTGCGTTATTTGAAAATATTGCAAAAAATAAAACACACATGCAGAAAGTCATTGAAGAAATAATAAAATATTGACAGTTACAGAAAACTTATTTAATTTTTTTTTTTTTTTTTTTTTTTTTTTTTTTTGGGGGGGGGGGTGTTCAGACATAACTTAAAATAAGCATTGTGACAAATTTCTTTTTTTAAGGGAGACAAAGAAAAACAAAATTGAAACTCACCAACAAGGTCATTTCCATCAAAACCACTGATAATTCCACCAGCACCAGGCTGTCCGTAGTTTCCACCCATTTGTCCACCAGTTTTGCTTCCGACTGTCCCTGTCTGGCTAAGCCCAAGGCCTCGCAGTCCAGTCCCACCATTGAAGAATAGAGGAGTAGCGTGAGTGGTCGCTAGAGCTTGTTTTTGTTGCTCAGTCAAAGCCATATAACCTGAGACTTCTTTCAAACTCTCAAGCATTAGGGTTCTAATCCAGACACAGATGTTTGTAGCAACTATGTGCATTAGACCAAACCGAGCAATAACTTTGAAACGGTGAATGTTCAGCTAAAATTTTGAAGAATTTATTATTAGTTTTATAAATAAAGGTTTTCAGTCACATTAAAGGAAATTTAAATTCTCACCCGTGAATTCATGAAGATAAAATACATCTGCATAAAGGTGAACACCATTTGAAGGACAGGATTTATACCACGGAGAATATTGTAGCATGTGGAAGAAAATGGTGTCTCGAAGAAAGTTCCAAACTCCAGTCCAGTGTAAATCATGGTGCCCAGTCCAAATGCTGTAAAATAATTACTTCATACATACTGGAGACATTTACAGAAAATAAGTAGTCCAAGAAAAACTGCACACAGTTTAACTCACCAATAGCTCCAACACGAAGGAAGAAGCTTCCATGGCTTGAATTATTTTGTGATGTTTTGTGTTTCCTTCCCAGAGGTCGATCCAGACCAGCTTCCAATTCAACAGCATCTTGCTACAGAATAGAAGGCAAGTCAAAATTAGATTACTGTTCTGGTACTACTACTCAATTCTTGTTGAATTAAAAACTTTGTTAACAGTATTATTTTGTAAATTGTTTGCTTTTACATCAAAAACAGATTGAACAAAATGATTCAAATCCTAGTAGGAATATTCAATAAGGGACATTCAATGAAAAGAAACAGGAACATGACAGTTTTCAGATGACATAACTTTATACAGCATGCAAACTACCGATATGCCATGCACAGCTTAAACACATTCAAAAAGCATTGTTTCTAGCCCTATTTCAGGAAGAAGATACAGGGTACCTTGAAATGACACCTGCAATACAAAAAGAAAGAGGCTGATTGCTAAGGAAAAACATGCAAAAAAAAAAAAAAAAAAATAATAATAAATAATAATAATTCTAAATGAGCTATGTACAGGTTTATCACTGTTAATATCACAAAGCAGAAGGAAGAAAGGAAAGACCCAAGGTACTTAGATAAACACCAATAGGAACTTGCATCCTATGGAAAGAAAGGAAACGAATTTACTTCATAGCCAGATCAGGAATATGATGCAAGTTTTATTAGACCAGTCCAGAGCTGAGTGCAAATGATAGATAGTAAGTGACCAAACCAGCGTCAATATATAGTTCAGGACACCTCAGCAAGACTTTCATAGCCACAAAGACACAGCCCTTAAACCACATAGATTATAAATATTTTCAAAATACCCACAATGTTTTTTCAGTCAGTCAAGAAGTATATCATAGTTCACTAAATTTTGTCAACAATCTATATTTTCATTCATGGGAAAAAACTGAAACACAAAGGAAAAAAACTATGGCTTACATCTAAATTATGACTGAAAAACCCAGTCTGGGTACTTCCCCATTCAAGTGAAAATGCACACAAAGGTTCGGCCCGGCAATAGACTTACACAGTGAGGGGCAGCGTGGCCCACAAGCAACGGCTCCTGTTGTTGTTGTTGCTGCTGCTGTTGTTTCAATTTCACGACATCTCTCATCTTACGAGGATAGCCTTCCTGCCTCTGTGCGAAATTCGCCAGCCGAACCAACCCAACCCAAAACCCAAACCACAAACAGGACTTAAACCAAATAAATGAGATGATCAGAACCCTGACATGAAAAAGGAGAGTGAGGCAAAAGAGGGAAATGCAGCTTTGTCTTTTACCAATCATTAAAGGCAAAATGACACTGAATTTAAAACAATGGATACCTTGCTATGACACAAAATAGGAAGTCAAGGGAGAAATGTGGTAAAGCTGTCAAAAAATGACGACAGATACAATTAGATCTTAGTGCTATGGGCCAAGGAAATATAAAGAAATATACTGTTTCTCCCTAAAATAATATTTATAGGAAACTAGGAACCATCTATACAACTGGGTCGATACCTTCCTTGAACGTGAAGCCCAGTAAATGCAAAGCTACATAATAAATGAGAAAAATAGTATGCTGCTTAAAAATACGACGTGACTAAAGTGCTCTTTGCAATTTTGAAAAGCTTGTAAAATTTTGTTCATTTTAAAGCAAGACAGCAAGCATGAACGAATAATTTAAAAAAAAACAGGTGCTAAAATGCTTTTCAAAGTTTTGTCTAGTAGCAAAAACAAAATTGGCCCTTTTGAGAAATTACAATGTGAGTAATGAAACAAAAAGAAATAAATAACAAAATAAAGTAATAAGGTAAGAAAATAAGTAATTTCTTCAGAGCCACTACTTGATGTAGAAAATAATAATAATCTAGATGTAAAAGTGCATTGCTCGAGTGGCATGAAAAAAAAAAATATCAGTAAATAGACAGACGAGAAACTCTTATGGTATGGCTGTTGCCCCGGTCGGCACTGAGGGCAGCGGACTTACCGGATAGAGGCCAGCCTGTTTGGGGGCGTCGGGCTGCGGGGGCGCCGGCGGCGCGCCCGCGTCGCCGTCCTTCTTGCCCTTGCCGCCCTTGGGGTCCTCCTTGCCGTCCTTCTTCTTGTTGGCCTCGTTGTCCTTCTTCTCCTTCTTGGCCTTCTCCTTGTCGGCCTTGTCCTTGTCCTTGGCCGCCTTCTGCCGCTCCTTGTCGCGCTTCTTGTTGGCGGCCGCCTCGCGCTTGGCCCGGTCTCTCTCCGCGGCGGCCGGCCCGCCCACGCAGCAGGCGGACTCTTGCAGCAGGAAGCAGAAGACGTACAGCAGGAACAGGATGCTGGCGCCGTAAAGGTACGTGAAGAAGCCCTGCAGGACCCAAACGACCAGTTCAGTTAGAGAAAAGTTGCCACTATACTGTGTAACACTGCGATGTACCCGGGGGCCTTCTCGGGAACGACGGAGTGAACGGGAACGCGGTGAAAAAGTGAACGAACTGGTAACGCGCCATAAGAGCTAATGGAAAACGTTCGTTCACTGCCACCGTTCCTTCACGCGTTCACGGCACGTTTGTTCCGTTTGTTCTCCCACTTCGTTCCCGAGAAGCCCCCCTGTGCATGTGATTGTTGGTTTACACCCCCCGCCCCCCCCCCCAAAAAAAAACAGGAAAAAAGAGACCGAATGTGAGGAAGATAGGAAAATTGGTGTACGCTTGAATTGATAGTAAAGTATCCCCTGGTAACATCATCGCCCGGGCCACTCACCTCGTAGTAGAACAGTGGCAGGGAGTGCGTGATAATCTCGGAGACGAGGAAGGAGATGCAGACCACGACCAGGAGCTTGGCGTAGATGAAGCTGAGTATGATGAACAGGGAGGTTCTGCAACAAGCAAAGCAAACGAGAAGGTCAGGGCATGTGGAATTCCCTCTGGTCGGAGAGACACAGGCTACAAGGTGCGAGGTGGTTCATTTCCCCCCATGTAATACATACAACCACCAGTACAACCCTGTGCAACCATATTCCGGCGATACAAACTTCACTTCTGTTTTTAATTGTCACCCACGAAGAAGTTTTTAGCTTGAAAATATGCAAGGATCGCAAGTCATTTTCAGATGTGGGGTAGTGTCACGTTACGGCCCTGTTCATGCAAGTTCGCAGGGTTGAAAGTGGAAGCTTTTCAGTCTCTATGATAAAGTTACCCCACTTGGAAAAATGTGTCCTACGGTGATACAATTATCATGGCTTTCGGCTTCCGTTTGCAACGCCGAGTTTAAATATGACACCGTCATAAAAGTACCCCCACCCCTCGAAAATGGAGCGCGACCACCACCACCCCTTTTTTTCAAGGGGAGGGGGGGGGGTCTGTCTGCACTAATCCTCGCTAGGTTTGCAGACTGCCGGACTGCGAATGGAAGTCTCTCAGTGGCGGGGTATTGCCCTGCTGGCGCCTGCTGCTGTCCCCGAGGCTGGCTAAAGGCTGGCCCTGGCCCCAGCCCTGCAAGATTAATCCAGCGGGGACAGGCAACAGGTACCGACGCGGTATGGCCGGGCTCCTCAGCCGGAATACATAAGCGGCGGCATGTCCTGCTTGGCATGGGAACTGCGACGGCATGCTCGGCGACGGTGCATGGCGATAAGTATTCGCAGGAAAAAACAAAAACAAAAAACAAATCGATATGCCAAGTTTGCTTCTAACTGACCCCCCTCCCCCCCTGTTTTTTTTTTTTTGCTTTTTTTTTGCGAAGAAATGCTTTGCGGACGCTTTTGCACATTGTGAAGGAGTCCGATGCCTCGCAGACTATACCGTGTGTCAGGGTACGACAACTGTGTTGCAAGTTTGCATGCACTAGGGGCCATGGCAGGGCCAGGTAGAAAACCAAGCAGAACTGCATATTGACTGCATTAAACGTCTAATCTAAAATGCACCCAACCGGGTAAAAATGATTTGTATACAAATTTAATGAAATTTTTATAAAATTTTATAAAAACTTCATAAAATTTGTATACAAACCATTTTTACCCGTGCATGTGAATTCGCCTAAGGTGCCTAAAATTCGGATGCAGTTCTGCTATCAGGGAAAGCTTTGCGTCTCCTTCAAAGAAAAAAATTGTGAGTTTGATGAGCTGTATAACTACGGAAACATCAGGCAAAACGCACTTCACCTCAGAACTGTCCATCAAAAATTGGAGGGTGAAAAGCCAAGCGCGGGTTTCTTCGTTTCGTCACGTAATTCATTTCTTATTACTTTGCCTCGGTCCCCTACTTTTGGATTCCGCCCTCATCTCCCCCCCCCCCCCATCTCCCTCTATCTATTCCCCGACGGTTCCCGTTCGTTCGCAAATTCAATAATGGAAAAGCGATTAAAAGTGGATCAAGCGGACTCGAGTGGACGCGGTCAGAAACGGGTCATGAGAAACATCCCCCCAAAATCACTTGGTCGGGGCGGCGGGGCGGGGCGTGCCCCGGGGTGTTGGGCGTGGGGATTGGGGCGGGTGTCCTCGCGGGTGTCCCGCGGTCGTGCGCTGGGGGCCGGGCCGAGCCCTACCCGCCCCCCTCCACTTCGATCCACTCCGTAGCCGCTTCTAGTGGACAAATTGCCACCAGTGGCCGAGCGACAATGTTCCCGTATGTGCCGCACTCATAGCATCGGTGCCCCCCCTCCCCTTCCCTTTCGTCGGTACACACTGGGCACTGACGCGCGACAGTCGAGGTGCTGAGCAGTAGAAGCGACAGACACCATGTGCGACTGACAACGGAGTGTTCTATACATAAAAAAATAGCACACACGGGAAAAGTATCTGACGGACAGTTCTATAGGCGCACCTTTCCCTCCAGACTAGAGAGGCTGAGAGGCTTATATTTATCCCATAATTGTGAGGAGACTTGTTTGAAAGCCAATTGGAGTGGGGGGGGGGGGGGCATGGTTGGGGCATAGCTCCAAAACGCATAATCATAGGATACAGTTTGAAATAATCCTTGGTATGGGTAAGTCTTTAATTGAGTTGAAGTTCTAATTTTGCATGCACTCGCGAGGCAGGCTTTTAAGGGCAGGGCTCATACATGGCTGGGGGTACGGGGAGTTGGCTCGTAATGCTAAATCACACTCCCTTGCACCGCCGGAAGCGCGAGCGAGCGGCAGGGTCCGCACGGCCGCACCCAACTACACGGGAAAAAATGAAAAATAATTTTGAAAAAGAAAAAGAAGAAAAGGACCTTAAAAAGACAAAAGCAAACGGCAGTAAAACATAACACGCAGGGCGGCCGGCTCGGCTGCTAACGACAGGGGGTGCTGCACGCCAGGAAATAAATGAAGGTTGGGGCAGCGCGAGCCGCGGCGAGCGGGGTGGGAGGAAAGTGGGAGCCTTCATTGCCGGACCTGTAAATGTTTCTAAATATGACAAAATAAATAGATGAATGTACAGACGGCTGTCATTTTTGATACTAGTTTGCCAAATGCCAAATGTCAGCGAGCGTGTGTGCCAAGTGATTCGCCGCGTTGTGTGCAGCATTTTCGTCTCTAACCATGACGCCTTACGGCTCGAGGGACTATAGGCAAACCCACCGCATGTCTACATGCGGTGGTGCAGTCTCTATAGCTAACGCCCAGGTAGAACACAATCGTCAAAAACTCGTCAATGACCCTCATTTGACGTCAAAATGAGGTCATTCTGGCTACCTAGGCGCAGTAAATTTTGACGATGAGGGTCAAAATGAGGTCATTTTGACATCATTTCGACAAACGTGTTCTACCTGGGCGGGAGGTGGGCGGGGCGGGAGGAGAATCAGCCGCCAGGTCAGGGATGGATGGATATGGATGGAGAGATGCAAGATGGATTTCTTGTGCCGCGTGAGCAGACGACAATCCTCGAGGGGGCGACGAGAGGGGAGGAGGGGGCTTGAGCTAGGGGTGCGCGCGACAGAGTCCCTCTGCCCCGCTCTGCCCGGCCTTTGTTTCTGCCAGGAACAGAACGGGGCGGCGGCGGGGCGCCGCGGGCGACTGGGGAAAAGCGCGCAACAGAGTGGCCACGGGGGAGAGAGAGGGACAAAGACAGAGAGAGAGAGAGAGAGAGGGAGAGGGAGAAAGAGGTGTTGGTATGGTGGTTGTGTGTGTATGTGTGTGAGTGTGCGTGCTTCGCGGCTGAAGCTCGCTCACGCGTGGGCGCGCCCAGTCACTCGAAACACCCAGCCGAACTTAGGGGTCTAAAGGAGATCATTTCGCACCACAACTGGAGCATAATGGGAATTCCTTCCCCTACGCGTTGATCCGCGCGCAGAAACGTCAACATTGAGTGTGTGTGTGTGTGTGTGTGTTCGTGTGTGAGTGTGTGTGTGGTCGGCTGCTTTCCATAGACACCCCCTGAGAGCCCCTCACAGGAGCAGGGCGCCTGAGGCACGTTTTGACGGGGGAGTCAGGGAAGGAAGAGGGGAGGCGAGGGGGGGGGGGGGTTCGTGTTTTCAAAGAGGGAGAGAAGGGGGCTCTCAGCCTGCCCCACATACATGGACTACGGGAAAGGTGGGGGGAAGGGGGGATTACTCAGCAAACATTTTTATTATTTTCATTCCAGAGAGGGGATGGTGGTGTGGTAGAGAAGTTTGGGAGGAAATGAAGTGATTTTCACCTTGAAAGGCACGAGCAGCAAGAGTGGCGGTGGCGGCAGCCAAGTCTGGCGAGATCTAAGCTCGTTTCACGGTAGGGTGGCGCCAGCCAGGTACAGGACCACAGCACCCACCCCGCGCAAAAAAATGAGAAAAATGTTTTGACGGTGAGAGCATGGCGTGGTCTAGGGCGGAGTGGGTAGGGAGAGGGGGCGGGATTCCCCCCCAGGGATAAGTGGCTGATGCAAGATAACGTTATTTTCCGCTATGATTACTCCCCCAACCCCTTCCCCAAGGATCCCCCGGCTGAAAAAATAAAAATACACATTGCTGTAAGAGTAATCCTCCGCACCTCCTTCCCGAGGCGAGAAGGATGTCATGCCATCAAGACAGCGACAACTTTCTCATACCGCAATTTCTCAGCGCGTTATTTTCTTCATCATACCGAGGGGCGTGCATTGGAGGGGGGGGGGGGCACCCCTTCTTTGTGGACCCAAGAACACCGCAAAAAAATATGCATTACACGATAAAAATAACGTTAAAATTATGCTGTGGGCGTAGATTGTTTAACGACGGGTGCTCGAGCGACGTCTTATCAGCCCAACCCTTTGTTATCAGCCGGCCCTAAGGGCTAAGGGTGTTAAGGGCGGTGAGGCGGTCGATAGCAAACACCGCTCGCCCCGCCCCGCGCCCCCGTGTGCTCAGACCTGCGCTGCCGCCTCCTCAGCTAGTTCGTCCGGCCGGCCCGACATGAAAGGGGAATGCTTCCGGCGCGGAGAGCAACGGTGACCAAGGGTGACCAAGGGTGACCAACGGAGCCCAAGCATCTGAATGAATGAATGAATGAATGAATGAATGAATGAATGGACGAATGAATGAATGAATGTGACGTGGCCACTATGTGGTCACGCAACGCGCGCCGCTCTCATTCGGCAGATCCCTCATCATTCATTCATCGCATTCATTCCAGCCTGATGCGCTTCTAAAGCCTCATAAATACTAAATGATTTTTTTCCAATTTTTATTTTAAAAATGAAAGTTGTTAACGACCCTCCATTTTTTTACATTCAACTTTTGGAAGCTGCGTGCACTGCCAGGAAAATGGTGACAAAAACTATATTCCACCCATTTGGGTATTGGGTTATGGCTTGAAAGTAACTTCCTCGATCACATAACAAAATTGAGCTCAGTCGGTTCTAAGAAACTCGACCGATTCCCTAAAAAGTGCAGGTGCAGGTCTTTTGAAAAGACGCATGAACCTGGGAAATGGCAGAGTGGGTAGGATTTTCCGAAGGGCAGAACTGTAGGGCAATCTTTCTCCTCCAGTAACCACCCCGACGCACAGCGGAAAGCAATTTGCACCCCCTGCGGCGCGCCTGTAGGCTCGGCTCGCTTGCGCACTCTCCAGAAGACTGGCTTCCGGGAAAAAGGCGCGACGACAGCAAAAATCACAAGAGATGATTGAACTGAGAAATTTTGCGAGCTTTGCACTGACCAGGATACTAAAAATGCTACTGACGAGGGGGCAATAACTCCGGGAATCATGTGTACACCTGCCTGGGAATCATCAGGATAAAAATTAATCAAAATCAACAAAAATCGCTTAAAATGAGCGGGAAACTAGTGGAACTCTTACAAATTAGTTGAAATAAGCGTTTTCTACCACTAGAAAACTTAAGAAATGAACTTAAGTGAACGGGAATCACTGGGAATCAAGGATTTCGGGAATCATGTGTACACTTTCAAAGTGAGTTATTGCCCCCTCGGCTACTGATATGGTCGCTCTAAAAAGATTTACACATAAACACAGTCAAATATAGTCGTAGGTCTCAGTAAAGATTTCCATTATGCGCGTTTGGAAAAGTACAATTTTGAAATTGTAAATTTACAACCACTTCGTATCGACTTCGACCTGACCGACCAGCCATGAATGGCCTGCCGCAAATTTACAACTTACAAATTTTGTAAATATTTGTAAATTACAACAAATGTTGTAAATTTACAAGGATTTTTTCCACAGTGAAACCAATAGATCGTGGGGTTGGAACCCTCGTACCTCTTGGGCGGCTGCTGCGACTGCTGCTGTAGCTCCTTGGCGTAGGCGCGCACGGCGCGCTTGGCCTCCTCCACCTCCTTGTTGGCCGTGTTGCACTTCTCCACGTCCTCGTCGGCCTCCGCCACCGGCACGCTGGGGCTGTAGCTGACCTGCTTGCCCTCCTTGGGCTCCTTGGCCTCCTTCGGCTCCTTGGCGGGCGCGGCCGCCTGCTCCGGCTCCTTGCCGGCGTCCTTGGCGGGCTGCTTCTCCTTGCCCTTACCCTTCTTGTCCTCCTTCTCCTTTTCCTTGGCCTTTTTCGCCTCTTCCTTTTCCCTCTCCTTGGCCTTCTTGGCCTCCTCCTTCTCCTTCTCCTTGGCCTTCTTGGCCTCTTCCTTCTTCTTCTTCTCGTCCTCCTTGGCTTTGTCCTGGGCCGCCTTGTCCTGCGCCTTCTTCTCGTCGTCCTTCTTGGCGGGCGCCTTGGCCGGCCCCTGCGCGGCGCCCTGCGGGGGAGGGCCGCCCTGCGGGGGCCCCTGGGGCGGGCCACCCTGCGGGGGGCCCTGCGCGGGCGCTCCCGCGGGCGCCTGCTGCTGGTGGCCGCGCGACACGGGCAGCGTGGCCATGTTCTCGAACGACTCCATGTCGGGCACCTTCGGGGGCTCCGCCGGGGTCGCCATGGTTAAGCCTGGGGGCGCACGAAGGGTGTGAGAGAGACGGCGACGAGGAGGCTCCCCGTCCCTCCCACACTGTCACACACACGCATTATCACACACACACACACATTCATACTCAGGACTCGGGGCTCGGGAAGCAGGAATTGCGGCAATTCAAGAAGGAGTCAGCCAACACCCTCCTGGACCCTCCCTCAACTGCTCTCCCTTCCTCCCTCCCACTCACCCTCTTCCTTTTATTTCATTTTTTCCTACCCCTCACTC